TAAATTAGACCTACACTCACATTATTTGGTAGGAGTGCTACTGTTTATAAAGAAAGATTTCAGGATGTGCTTTGGTTAAGTAAATGAATGAGCTTTGATAATAGTTGGCCTTTCCTAAATTGCTGGAGTGTTCAACCTGCTGTCCTCAGATTTATTTGGTTTGGTTCTTTTGCATCCTGTCCAGACAAGCAGACTGAGCAACCCTGATCTGTAATTAATATACACACCAAAAAAAGTGTCATTTAGTAAAAACAAATAAGAAAACCTCGCTACTGGGAGAAAATTCTGAAAAAATTAGGAGTCTCTTACTTATGTTTGTATGCCTTATACTTCTGTCTCATACTTTTATGTCCCTTCCTAAAGCACAGACATAATTCTCTTCTTCCCTGACTGCTGGTTAATAAGAGTTAGTTAATATCAATAACAGTATCAAATTGGAGATAAGCCAGGAAGCATTTGCAGTCAAATGTGATATACAATAACAATGCCACTTATAAAAATGGAAATTCACTCTAAGGCTTGAGAGATATTAACTTATATAATAGCCTCTTGTGCAGTATTCATCTTCCTTAGAGTAATTAAAAAAAAAAAAAATTAAGGCTAAAGGCTACAATATTGAAAAACACAAACTAAATATCCCTACAAGCTGTGCAGTGTGTTGATTTTTAACATACCAGAAGAAATATTGTTCCTTTTCATTAAGTGTGCCAACATAAACACCTTAGCCTATTAAAATCCCTGCTGCTATAAAACACATTACCAGGAAACATTATCTTAAAGACAAAAAGAAAGAGAAAAGAAAAAAGTGAGAAAAGAAAAGCAAATTCAGAGTCAGTAAAACACCCTTCTGATGAAACTAGGAAAAAACATATCTCCTGGGAATGTAAACAGGTATTTTTTGCTATAGATGTTAAGCACAGAGCTAAACCATCTTCAAGTAGATACGGTACTACCTTCACAGCAGTAAATGTATGTCATCAGTCTGGTTCATGAGTTCCAATCAATTCTTGTCAGCATATTGTAATGGGTTATCAGAAATGTTCTAGTCGTGGTAATTTTATGCTTGTGAGAATTCTTTAAGAGACATTCCTGATTTTACAGCTAAAATAGAAGTGGATCTTCTTTACACTACACTACACACAAAGGCCCAAGCCACCTTTTCACTGTGGTCACACCTCCTGTAGCCTGTCCAAGTATTGTAGAGTTTGGCGAAACCCAGATGGCTTCAATGAAGCTCAGGCTGTGCAGAAATGAAACTGCTGGATTTTATCTGTCCCTTCACACAGTGATGCTAGGCTGTTTTTGTAAATGACATGATTGTCCACTTTACTGTTCATTCTGTTGCCAGTCTGAGATGCGTCAAAGACCTGAAGATTACCAGTCTGTACCAATAACTTCTTTTGCATTTAATTCTGAGTGCTATTCATCCAAACAGATGTGGCTCTCTGCTCACTCAGTAACGTTGTTATTATGGATGAATTAGGAAAAATATAGTACACTTTTCCTTCAGGGTTAACCTTACAAGACTGTCAAGACTACATCTAGATCTGAATATGTTAATTTAACCCCATTTCTCTTGTAAGTTATGGTAGCTATTACACCTAACTGTGGTACTTGCTAACCACATCTCCTGGTAAAATCAAAGTACTACTTCCTATCTTTAGTGCTCTAATCAGATTTTCTGTCAGATGTTGCTGACTATTAGAAGTATCTTTACCTCTAGGGCCATACAAACCACTGTCAGTACTGCAGGCTACACTTGCTGAACAAAAATGTAGTTCAGGCAGAAACTTCTTTAAGCCAAAACATTACGAAGGGAGGTATGGCAAAAGGCATCCTAGTTTCTGTCTACCACTTGTTTGGTTACTTTCTACTTCTGTATTGATACTTTGGTGATCTCCTGAGTATTTGTTTCCAGGATGTAAACCCATCCCCTGTTAAAAAGGGTACGTGCCTGGATATCTCAGAGCCCTACTAAAATTGATCCTAGCAACAGAAATTATAAACTACCTATATTTGTCTATTTTTAGATTTATAGACTTATTAAGGATTGTTTGCACTTTCTATTCATTTCTGTTTCAGTGGATTTCTTCAATTACAATTTAATTTGATACTCTTTGGAGAATTTAATAATATCATTTATTGTACTAGTGATGCTCACACAAAGCAAAAGAACCAAGCATGCTGGAAACAAATAAATGAAAAACCACAGTCCCTAGCTTAGAATAACTCAATAGGCAACTTATCCAACTTAATTATCGCAACTCTACAATTGTATTTAAACAAGTTTTAACACCATAAAACCTACCCTTTCAGTTAGACTCCAGGCCTGAAGATTTTACAGCTGCTTAATGAGTGGTTAACTTACCAGCATATAGGGAAAGAATATCCCTCAAGAATACCCTTATCATTGTAGTGAAATGTTTTCTGTAGCTACTGTAGATCTGTAAATTCTTTCTTCTTTATTTTGGCAATCCACACTAACTGATAGATAAAAGCACTATTTCCTTCAGTGTCATCCTTTCTATCAAGTTTGTTTCCATCTCTTCAACATTACCACGCGGCTACCCTAGGTGCAATATCTAGGTGATCTAGACATGTTTTCTCTAAGCAGCTGCTGATGAAAGGAGAAGAATTTGAATAGTCACTCTAATTTTTTTTTAAATTATAAAATAGCCATAATGTAATATCCCTTCGAATAATGCAAAAAAATCAAAGTAAAAGCACCATCTAGGGACAGCAATTGTATAACATCTTTGTTCTCTTGTAAACTGGGGCAATTCCATCCCAAATATAATTAAAATAATTTGATTGTGCTATATATTTATTGTCGTTAATTTCAGCATAGATTTATAATCCCCTCTACTCATCCTATTCTAAGGATTATATATTTGTAAATATAAATCAGTCAGTCAAGTGCAGAAAATTATTTCAGATTTATATCTTCAACAATTCTCTGAGGACAAAAAAAATCCTGCAGTTCATGATAGGAGAGTATGTGTTCGGCATCATAGTTGTTTCCTTAGAAACAAGGTATCACATGATGCACAGTGCTAGTGGAGCATGCTCGACGCATAAACAAATCAGGTTAATTTTTCTTCTTTTGTTCTAAAATCCACCCCAGCTTTCCTGCTGTCAACTGCAGCATGAGAGCTGCCTGATATGCCTCATATATAGAAGCACGGTACAGGTGATTGGCAGTGTTGTGTACCGCTAGTGCTAAAATCTTGATTAACGTGGAACAAAACAACATGCACTTTTTCCTGTGGGAAAGTTCAGCCTCCCTGTATGTAGACTTTCAAAAGAAATCTCAGCAAAATGAATTTCACCCAGTAAGAGGGGGAAAAAAATAGCCAAATGACAGATCACAACATCAAGCTATTATCTGTCAAAACAGATAAACCAGAATTTTTCTTCATCATTTCAATTCTGTTTGTGAACTGTTTCCTTTTCCTTTTTTATATCGTCTGTATTCTGACAGTACTGTAATTGAAAGAAAGAAAAACCCCAAACATTAGATGAGGAAATAATCACAAAAAAAACCCCACTCTATCTTTGCAGGATTTTTTTTTATTTATTTATTTTAATATGTTTTTAGAAAGGAAATCACTGCTTTAAGATGGAAAAAGAATCTGATCTCTGCACTGCAGCTCTGTTGGTTGGCACTTGTACCTAACAGTGTGTCTTGAATACATGATGAGCCATTCACAGACTCCCACAGGCTGATGGAGTTTAAATCTGAATTTATTCAAGTCCATACCCAATCTGATTTCCCTAAAGAATAAGACCTCTGTTGGAGCTCACTTGAATCACACTTGTTTTTCGTTGCTAAACTGAGGTAGATGTTTCTGTCAGTCTTTTAGAAATAGCCAAAACTGGGACCCTATATACATATATATGTATAAAATATTATTTACATATGAATTTATATATACATATATGTTAAAAAATAAATATTTTTTAAAACCCCATAGTACTGAGGTTAGAATCCTTCTGTCCCTGGTTAATGACTGGTGGTGTTGCTGACCTACACTCTTTCATAACTCTTAACATTGCCATACCATATGCTTGGATCATAAGAAGGAACTCCTGAAAATGTTTTGTTTTACTTGAAAAATAATTATCCCTTTTCTTGAACTTTTTGTTGTTTAGCTCTTCCTTAGAGCTTAAAAGTATATGCTCTCCAACTGCATGCAAAGTGCATAGTTTTATAGATTAAACTAGATGTCAGAAGTAAAGTAATTGGAGAAAACTCTTTGTTCCTTTCTTCTTATCCCCAGTAGCCTAACCACAAGGGCTTTCATATTCAAAGGCAATTGAACATGCTGAGAAAGAGAAAAACTGGAAACTTTGGTACTGCATAATGCCCACAAAGGAGGGAGTTGCAAGAAGGTTACAAGGCTCAGTGTAGTGACAATTCATCAGATGTCTATGTACTTGCTTCACGGGGGTCCTCATTTTGTAGTACAAGCTATAGCCGTTGCTATTCTTTACAGCTCAGTAAGATTACAGTGTAAGCTGGGGAGCACCATGAACTATTAACAGAAGCAGCATTTCCTTTTTTGTTTGACATTGTATTCTCAGATTCATGAACCATATTACTCCAACAGTAGGACAATCAGGTAAATGGCCCCAGTAGCATGGCTTTATGAAAGGCAGGTCCTGCTTGACTAACTTGATCTCCTCCTATGTCAAGGTGACCCGCTTAGTGGATGAAGGAAAGGCCGTTGATGTTGTTTGCCTAGACTTTAGTAAAGCCTTTGACACCGTTTCCCACAGCATTCTCCTGGAGAAACTGGCTGCACATGGCTTAGGCAGGCGTACCCTTTGCTGGGTCAAGAAACTGGCTGGATGGCCAGGCCCAAAGAGTTGTGGTGAATTTGGTGGCCAGTCACAAGTGGTGTTCTCCAGGGCTCAGTATTGGGACCAGTTCTGTTTAATATCTTTATCAGTGATCTGGACGAGAGGCTCGAGTGCACCCTTAGTAAGTCCACAGACACCACCAAGCTGGGCAGGAGTGTGGACCTGCTGGAGGGTAGGAAGGCTCTACAGAGGGATGTGGACAGGCTGGAGCGATGGGCCAAGGCCACCTGAATGAGGTTCAGCAAGGCTCAGCGCCGGGGCCTGCACTTGGCTCACAAGAGCCCCATGCAATGCTACAGGCTTGGGGCAGCGTGGCTGGAAAGCTGCCTGGTGGGAAAGGACCTGGGGGTGCTGGTCGACAGCCCCATGAATAGGAGCCGGCGGTGTGCCCAGGTGGCCAAGGAGGCCAAGGGCATCCTGGCTTGTACCAGCAATAGTGGGGCCAGCAGGATTTGGGAAGTGACCGACCCCCTGTACTCGGCACTGGTGAGGCCGCACCTCGAATACCGGGTTCAGTTCTGGGCCCCTCACTACAAGAAAGACCTTGAGGTGCTGGAGTGTGTCCAGAGAAGGGAAACGGAGCTGCGGAAGGATCTGGAGCACAAGCGCTGTGAGGAGCGGCTGAGGGGGCTGGGGGTGTTTAGCCCGGGGAAAAGGAGGCTGAGGGGAGACCTTATCACTCTCTACAAGGACCCAAAAGGAGGTTGTAGTGAGGTGGGGGTCGGTCTGTTCTCCCAGGCGACAAGGGATAGGATGAGAGGAAATGGCCTCAAGTTGTGCCAGGGGAGGTTTAGATTGGATATTAGGAACAATTTATTTACTGAAAGAGTCATCAGACACTGGAACAGGCTGCCAGGGAAGGGGTTGAAGTCACCATCCCTGGAGGTATTTAAAAGGTGGGTAGGCATCATGCTTAGGGACATGGTTTAGCAGTGGACTTGGCAGCATTAGGTTAATGGTTGGACTTGATGGTCTTAAGGGTCTTTTCCAACTTCAACAATACTATGATTCTATAACAACCCAGGTCATTGATGGGCCAAGGAGACATTCAAATGAAATGAATGGAAGAAAATGCATTTAGGTTTGTCACAGCCAGCAACCCACACTAAGATCATCAAACATTGTTTTTTACTATCCCATATAGTTCTTTCTATTCTATAAGCAGACATGACATATGGGATAGAAGGAGCTCTGTCTCAATAAGCTATGTCTCAATCAAAAACAATGCTTCCATTTTTTGATTGAAAGTACAGGAAACTAAAGAACCAGATGATACACTGCAAAGCCTAGCAATAGCTAAATGAATACTGCAAAGGTCAAGGACTACCATATTCCTTTGCATATCCTAAACTGACCAGATAACCCAAAACATAGCCAAAAATATTTTGAAAGTAAAAATAGAGCTAGAAGAAGCATTTGGGAGGCAGTGATAATGTTTGTAAGAAAAAAATACTTATTCTAATAATCCTACCAGACTGAAATATCCTAATAAATTTCAGCTAAAAAAGCAAGTTGTACTCCTTCCACCACAAAATACAAGAAAAAAAAAAAAAAACACCAAAAAAAAAAAAAAAACAAACACAAAAATGAAAACAGTATCCTAGAATTACTAAGAGAGAAATAAGTATATTTATCACAAATGTGGATACTGAAATTCCACCACAGCCTCCTGTTGTGGGTGCTGTAATTCATACTGTTTCTGGTTATGAAGCAGGCTGTGGATGTTGAGAGGAGAAACCTCTCAATCTCTTTCTGCTGGACTGACCCACTTTCTGTAAAACACTTAAGACTATCTTGGCCACAAGCAAATGCAGAAAGCCCTTCCAGCCTTTCTGGTAGGACTTTCAGCTGGGTGGTGAATTCTGCCCATTTTCTGGCCCCAAATGCAGTATATGTTTGTACAAAATACAGTAATGTTAAGGAATGACTTCTAGCACCTTTTTTTTTCTCCATAGCCCTTCAGAATGCACTCTAGCCTGCAGGTTAGGGTATATGTACATGTAGCATGTAAGGATAATTCCTCCCAGGCAGAGGGATTTGCAACTATCCTTGGCAATTCTGTAAACGCTATGAAGGGAGATAACAATTCCCTTAATTTCCTTATTTCCCATTCTCACAAAATATTTTATGGACATGAACTACGTAGGGTAGAAACCAGATCTTTTAAAATGTTTATTTTTCTATAGGAGCCGATTTTTAAAATGTTTTGGGTTTTCTGTCTGTTCAGTTCCATAAGTAAAAAAAAAAAAAAAATATTACTTCTCTAGTTATATTATCCTGTAACTTTAAATACAAATTGTAACTGCTTTCAAAAAATTTCCACCCATGATGGCCTCAGACACTTTCCTACCATATTTATGGATTTTTTTATGCACAATTTGCAACAGCCTTCTTCTATGAATTTATGCAGTGGTCCTATAAAACTGATTGTCCAAAGTGCACAACTGTATAGGAATATAGCCCTCTATCGGAAAGAAAAGGTACAGTCTTATTGTTGCACCAACTTTCTTAAACTCAGAAATCTGCATTGCTGTACTTAAGGGTCACAAAATGCATAATGAACTGATAACAACAATGTTAATAATGAATTAACAATTTGTGGTGCTAGCATCTCAGCGCTAAATATGAAGCCATTCATGAGTCTGCAAAGCTCAAAAGGCATGTCTGCTTTTGCAGCTGATTTTCAGTTTCATTTCTTATCTAGCTTTAATGATTTGTTCTGTAGATAATTAGTTTGTTCTGTTCTAGCTGCACTGACACCCGTAATTTTACAAAACTATTTTCCATTTAAACTTGTCATCAGCAATGAAAACTTAAATTGCACATATTGGAGAGTTGTGATCTTCAATACATCAAAACAAAAGCAAAGGAAAATTAAACAGATTGTCTAAAATAAACAACACAACATTTAATGTTAATGGAACAGTCATAGCCTTCCGTCAATGAGTTTTAGCGTAATCTGCAGTTAATTTAAGTCTTGCATTAGCATAAGATAATTTATCCAATTGAAGAATCAAATGTTTTCAGCTTTCAAATAATAGCTTAGTCTTCTGGGATGTTTTAATCAAGTGTTCAAGAAGAATATTCAGCCGTTAAAGCTAAGTGATTTTGGTTTTTTCACTTGTTCTTAGTATTCTCTAGTACCTAGTTTTGCACCAAATAACAATGGAATTAGTGCCTGCATTAATAAAGGCAATATAACATTTTAAAATAAAGTATGTTTTGTGCAAGTCAATTTCCATTTTTGCAACAGTTTTTTTTCTTTTGTTAAGTTACTCCAACTTACTGATGCTATGAAGATGATCTTTCTATATTTCGGATGTGGTTTTCTAGCTTGGGCAGTATTTTTAATACAAAGTATGCAGCAACTGTTGCTTATGAAATTTTTAGGGGGGTTCCAGGGGTGAGTGTGTACTAGCATATCTTCTTGTGGAAATTATCCATATATCTGAGCACAATACATATCTAAGATTTATTGCCTTTTCAAAGTGAATGAGAGCAGTACTTTTCCTTGTAAATTATATCAAAATATAGTGAGAAAAAGCATTCTGTAGAGACAACATAGTGGTATAACTAAATGGGGGCAAATTGGCCTGATTTTCCTTTTCTATAGGTTTCACTGTACTCAGTTTTGCCAATGCCAGCCAGATCAGCCACTGGTTAGCACTGGACTGTAGTCGGCATTACCTAAGTCAAAATAACTTTCCAGGACTAGAACTCATCTCAGATTCACACTCACCATTATAGGAACAATTCTGGCAAACATCTAAAATGTTTGTTTCTGTTACTTAGTACTGACAAATCATTAAAAACTCAAAAAGGGTAGGAATCATAAATAGCCTACATGTTGCTTGATTCATTTCATGAAGTATGTATATGATTCAAAAATTTCTAAATACGAATGATTCAGAAAGGAATTTTATTAGAGCAGGAACACTTCTGTCAGTAGCAAATATCAAGCCTTTCTGGTAAAGATAGTGAAAAACCAGTCATGAGACACAGAATCAATGTCACTGTGATAAAGATAAAATTTGTGGCTGGCAAATGTAGAGATATATCCCCCAAATATTTGTATTATTGAGCTCAAAACCTAATGTGCAGAAGGAGGTATTACACCTTTCTTTCATGATGGAATTATCTTTTTTGGAAGTATTATGCCCAAACAAAACCCACAGGTTCTTATATGGTACAGTAATTCTTGGGACCCTCTCTTCAATACTTCTTCTCTACTCCATAGGGAACAGATTGGACAATTGCTTTTTCAATTATTGTGCTGTTCATTCACCTCTAAATCCTGCAGTGCACCGCTACAGGAAATGCAGAGATCAAACTTATGGCCACCTCTGGAAACAGTATAGATCTGCCTCTTCTATCTGCCTCAGTTTATGAATATATTCTTTGCTCCACCTGAGCTATACTTCTCTTCAGACATATGTTTCTGTATATCTTACTCAAAACACCTGATAAATAGGAAAGTATTTCTATATTTTACTGAATGATTATTTTACTGAATGCTCAGACTAAAAGGTAAAAATTCGAGATCAGGAATAGCAAAAAATACCCTGGACAGATCAGGCCGTGAAAAACTGAAAAATTGGAAGGAGATTTGTACATGTGATTGGAAAAAGATTGCCCCCACACAAAATATTTTTTTTTATATTTTTAAAAGTTCTCTTACATCTGTTTCACATAGAGACTTAGTCTTTCCCTCCTCCTTGATCTTTATAAGACAGTCAGTCTTTCTCTGCAGAGATATACTGGAACCTACTACTGCATAAAAAAAATACATTAATGAAAAGCTAAATTTGGGATTGCAAAAAATCCCACTCAAATGAAGGAAAGACTTGCCAGTTGTGTATTACCCAATCTGTGACAAATTAATGAAGTTCTACCTCTCTTACACTTGCATGTTTTAAGTGGAATAGATTTTTTTTTTTTTTCCTGAAGCTGGTCTATAACTCAACCACCAGTGATTCACTTTGATGCAGTAATTACCAGGAAAAATATATAGCTGTGCTACCCACTTAAATTGTCAGAATAGATTATCATATTCTGGCCAAAAAATCTATTATTTTAACTTCTCACCATATAAATACATCATTCAAATAACAAACCTGGGGGAGGAATGTTTTCATTCTTGGAAAACTTCCAGATCTATTTTTGGAATGGATTATAATTTTATCTTAGTGCATGCCTGGGCTTGTTACTAATATGATTGAATGAGGTATCGTGCAGATGGTGAAGACTA